GCCGCAGTGCAGTGCAGCTGCCAAAAAAAACGAGAAAAAAAATCTGAATAACGAAATTGAAACCCGAATAGTACTCCAACGAACGAATATTCGGGTACAGCCCTACTTCAAACTAACCTGCATGCATCAGATGATGAACTGTTAATATGTGTGCATGCAAGACATTTGTGTGTTAATTCACTCATTCCTTTACATTTTTCAAGATCATTAAGCATGTGATAACATTGAAACAACTTCACTCATTGTATCATGTGTAGCTCCATCATGTCAGACATTAAACTATTTTTAAAAGCTAAATATTGTTTTGCAGGAAATGCTCAACCAGGCACAGAGATTTTCAACTTGCCTGCTGTTACTAGCTCCAGTAAGTAATGAAACTCTGACACTTCACAGTTCTTTCTAGTTGATGTCTCTGTTTCTAAATGTCTGTTTTGTTGTGTTGTTGCTTTGTAGGCAGCATCAACCCAAGGAATAACTCATTTAGTGACCCGGCCAATAACCTGGGCCTAGAGGACATCATCCGCAAAGCCTTGATGGGCAACCTGGAGGAGAGGCCAGAGGAGCATCAGGGGGGTCAGTCTGCCAACAACAACACACCCAGCGCGGGCAGCGAAGTCCGCCAGGAGGCCAACCCGTCTCCCAGTATGGGTAAGCACCAAATACATTCACAGAATTATACATGTTCACAACAGCGAGGGACCCCAAATTGTCGACAACTTGTCGCACTTGCTATGAAATGTTGTTTTGAAACAAGGATAATTCTATTTGTCTTTAATAGGGGTGCTATGGTCTGATTTCACATAGAATCTCCCAATAAATCATGTTATATAGCCCATTTTGATAGTTATATGATCCTATAAATGTTCAATATTTTTTTAATTATCTGAAAATAATTTGTGCTTTCAATCTCTTTTATCTACATGAGAATGTATCTACACTGACCTCATGAAGGCTAAATAACAATAACATAAGGCCACATTGACAAAATAGGGCTTAGTTTTCAGGGCACTCACTTAAGGAAGTAGTATTTTCAGAGTGTTCAAATGTATTGTGAATATATATGAGCGATTCTGAGTCATATCAACAGGGGGTAGTGCTAAGAAACCGCTGTTTGTCGATAATAGGATAGACGGATAAACTTCAATACCAATCAGATTTTATTATGAACATTTTTAGATGGGGACGTTTTAGTTAAGAAGGAATTTTATGTTGATGATATATAAATGTTTTTGAATCTACAGGGAAGCAGAAGCAGAGCAAAGCCAACAGCCGGAAAACCAAGTCCCCTAACCTGGGTCAGGCCTACGCCGGAGGGGAGCGTCCCTCCTCAGTGTCCTCCGTCCACTCCGAGGGAGATTATCACCGGCAAGCCCAAGCTCAACCCCAGTGGAGCTGGGACGACCGACCCTCATCCACAGGTGAGCTGTCCTGCCTATGTCATCTACAGAAACTGTCTCCTGGTCAAATACAGACGGAAACATTTAAAAATAACGTTCTCTTCTGCTTATCTATCTCCAGGATCAATGCAGTTCCCATACAACCCGCTGACCATGCGCATACTGAGCAGCACGCCACCCACCTCCATAGCTTCCCCCGCCATTCAGAGCCAGCAGCAGCAGCAGCAGCAGCAGCAGCAACAGCAGCAACAGCAGCAACAACAGCAACAACAGCAACAACAACAACAACAACAACAGCATCAACAACAACAGCAGCAGCAGCAGCAGCAGCTGCAGCCGCCTCCTGCTGGAGCTCCGGTGGCCCAGCAGCGGGTGTGGCAGTCTCTACTGTCAGAGCAATACGAGACCCTATCTGACAGCGACGACTGAGCCCCGCTCGCTACAAGCCCCGACAACCAGAAGAGAGCCCTCCCTCCCTGCACTAAGGCTTGTCTTTTCACCCCCCCCCCCCCCTCTCCCCTCTCCCAGAACTATCCTCGCTGACTGGTGAGAGTGACAAGTAGATGGGGTGGTGTCCTTTTTATTTTTGGTGCTATGGCGCCTCCTGGCTGTTAGCAAAGAGTGAAGCAGGCAGCTAGTGACAGGCAGGGCTCTCCAGAACGAGACTGGATTTGGTCTGGAAGCACTCAACCAGCCTGATGGAGACATGAAACCCTGACCGAGTGGACGACGTGAGCTGTAGTAAAGATGAAGAACTTATTATGTAAAAAGAAACAACATAAGAGACTATTTCTGATTTTTGGGGATTTCTGTAAAGATATACGTTGTCTTTAAGAATCATTGTATGTAAATAGAGTAACCTTTTGCAGTGTTTTTCTTAACTTGATTATTTCTTATTTTAATGTCGCTTTTAAATTGATCCACTTTAAACGGGAAGAGGAGGGGTGTAATCTTTGGTATCACAGTTGGTCTCTCCCAGTCCGCCCCACATGACCTGACACCCACGCTAATATTTTTACCATAGCAACGCTGAGAGAGACCTTTTGGTTTGTATTTGACCACGAATGGAGTGCTACCCCCCACCCCTGCGCGCCATCCACCAAGCACCACCAGAGCCTGAACATCGTGGACACAGATGAACAATTAAAACAGCAATTTTTTTTTTTATCTTCACCACATAGTGGAGATGATGCGTGGATTGTAACTATCAGATGGTAGCGGAAACTTCTCACCCCGTTCTAGACAGAGACATTTCTTCAAAACAAGTTGAGAACACTGGTGTCATAGCAGAAAGGTGAAAAGTCTGATATAAGCTTAATTTAGCCGGATAAGATATGACTACTCCTGGACTGCGTCTGAGTAATTAAAGTGAGCCAATGCTTTTTTTTCAATAGAGCTGACCGTGGTGTTTAGCTGTCTCTCTCTGCAGTTTCCAACCTGTCCAGAATTATCTGCTCAAATGTTGTCATGGTAAAAAAAATAGTAAGTCAGGTTTTGCCATGCCTTGTGACTTGAGAAAGAAGGCAGCTTTAACTAATTTTCTCAGAGATATATGTTGGTGTTTGATGTTTGTATTTGTTTCTGTAGTCCCTCTTTTTTTTTTTTTATACTGTCCTGACAAAAATCTGAACTCTGTAAATTGTCTTTCCATTACACAAAGACAAAACTAACCAAACATAAAGAATGGTCTGCACCATTGTTGCACTTTTTTGCTTTGTAGCTTTTGACAAGAAAAAAAAGCATATTACCTGCTGTGTAACTTATTCAACCTCCAGCATAAGAGTATACTAAGATGTGCTTTAACCTTTTCCCACCACTCACAGAAATCTGGATGTTGAAACTTCCTGTCTTTTTTTGTAGCTGGTACATTATTTTGTAGTGTTGACACATCACAGTTACAGTTTTAAGTGTTTGGTACCGTTAAATGTTTGCCGTCATGGTGGCTCAAAACCGTGACCACTTAATCTCTGCTTTCGTTGTGTCAGTCAAGAGGCATAAAGCTTTGAATTATTATAGGTCAATTTCATTAATGGCAGTAACTTTCCGTTGCAGATGGTGAAAAATTACCATGTTTTGTCTTTCAGCTTTGCTCAGTTAACAAATCCATTATGCTCTAAACTTTCCTTTCCTTTCTTTCCTTTTATTTTGATCTTGAATCAGTTGTCATAGCACATGTTCAGATTTTTTTTTTCAACATCTTCATCATCCATCCTGTTAAGGAGGGGATGTTATGTGTTTACAAAGGCAATGACAAAAAAAGTTTACAAACTTGAATCTTAAAGAAATCCGACATGAAGCCGAAAAAGAATTGGAGAATCTTTTCAGCTCTCTCACAAACTCGCAGTGGTGACTTTTTTTTTTTGTCTTTTTGAAATTGAGACTTGAAAACCCGTGTATCCTATGATGTTGAAATGCAATGTTTGTATCGCACAATGTCTCTTAGTAGGCTATTACAAGGGTTCAGACCAATCAAATAAAGTGGATCAGTTCTCCACCACTGAAAAATGTGTAGGTGTGCCATCTATTAAATTAACCAATACCATTTTTGTTTTTTAGATTATGGCCTGATCAATCACAACAGTCATTGACTGACATGTACCACAACTCTTCAGGATCCTTTTCATGTGAAATATAAAATGAAAACATTTTTACCACATTCTTTAGCAATTTCAACTTGCGGTTCATAAAAAATAAATTGTATAGAAAACAATTAATCGCATTAGATAGAGCACCTTCAAATGCAGAAAAATACCTTTATTACTGCAGTAAAGTGGATGAGATAATGCACAACTATAGGCCGATCTCACAGAAGATATTTAGGTGCTTTCCATTTAGGTGAGCCAGCTCCTGGAATCTGGTAAAGAGCTGTCTCAAAGCAGACATTATGATTCATAATGGCAGTAAAAGCAATAGTAGTAATGAACTTGATTGTGGTTCTATTCCATTCAAGTATTGCAGTGTGTTAGTGACATGCACCAGGACCCTGGAAACAGATGTGGAATGGAGAAGAAATCTGTGTTCTCAATAACACTTACATTTCTATATTTAAAAATATTTTCTGTGAAAAAAACCTGCCCCCATGGGAAATTACTATTACTGCTGATCTCATGTTTATGAGAATTGTAAGAAACTGCCAGGTAGCCTACATAGCAAGGAATTATTGGTCTTATTTGTCAAGCTAATGTAATTTGCTTTGTTTGTTAAAAATGACATGGAAAGTTGTGATACTGGTGCCTTTATAGAACAACACAAGATAATATTGTCCTGAATTTGCATGAAAGTATGTTTGGGATTTGCTCTTCCTTCACATACACATGCCCCTAAAGAGACTATTTTAAGGATTAAAGCAGGCTATTTTCCCAATACTTGTATTGGCTACTCTTAAAATCAAAAGTAAATGTGCCTATGTAGTAGCAGGAACTTTAAAATGATCTCTACTTCGTCCTTTTTGAAACGTTGAAAGGCCTAAAAGCTCAAGGGTCTCCGAACAAATACAACGCTTGAGGTATGTTGGCTTTTATTTTGGAGGGAAATCAGACATTCGAACCGGATGTCGTTATATTTTGGTCGCAGTTTATTGGCTACCGGAGTTGGTGACTTCCTGAAACGAAACGGTCTGAAAAGTACACATCCATAATGAAGATGCGTTCGTTCTTACCTGCAGTTGCTGAACAGCTTTTCCGAGATATTCAAAAAGCATACCAGGAAACTTCCCAAAGTAAGACGAAGCTGGTAAAGAGAGATAGACCAAACAATTATTCCCAGGGGCAGTTTTAGTGGAAAAGTAGCTGTAGCATTACTAGCTTTAATATAGCAGAACGTGACAAACTCGCTTGACTATTTGAGCAAACTTAATGTTAACTTACCCTTGGTTAGTACGCCGTAGTTAACTTTACATTAAGTCAAAAACAGCTGTCGTTGTGTGCTTTACAGTAGCGTTCATGCAGCATTTCTAACATTTTAACTGTTTTATGATGTAGTTTAATATTTGGCCTGTGGGAGGCGCTGCTGGTACACACTTCTGTCACTGTACACTAGTTTAGGCTTACACACCTGAATAAACAGGGCTTTTCTCACAGCAAACACTAACAGGAAAGTACAGGTGTGTTCCTCTGTAATGACTTCCAAATGTATGTGTTCACTTCAAGGGTTCAAACCTATTTAATAGCAGACATTGGCTTGTTAGAAATCTCAGTTGGTTCTACTAATATTAACAAAGGTCCTGTTCTGTTTGTGTGTAATAAGTCATGACCTGAAGAAGAAGCAGCTAAGTGGAATTTAACCATCATATATTCTATAAGTTATAACTAGAGGTCTATCTTGTATGTTTGCTTATTGGGACGCTTAAATGAACATAATGCCATAATTTATGCCCTTATTTTCTGTAAAAAAAAAAAGAGGCTTATAAACAACATGATGACACTGTCTGAATCAACACAACAAACATTTTCGTTTCATCACATTCCTAAATTGTCACGCAACATTACCGTTTCTTAACACAAGTTGCATACAGTTGCCCTCGAAGTGTTTTTGTCGCCACACAACATAAAATATGGGAAGATTATGCCAAAACAAACCCACAACAAGGTTTTGTGTATATTGTCCATAAAGGATTATGTCCTACCAAGGCGTAAATCACAACTGCTATGCCTCATTGGGCTTTTGTTACCATTATTCAGTGGGTTTGGTCCATTTATTAGACAAACAAACTGAACCACTGAAACTTTGGCTTTATGAAGAGTTGGTTTATCTGTATACTGAAGTCAGGCCCAGGGACTCAACAGTAATGCAGGTTTGAAAAGTTAAGCCGCAGCCGTTTTACAAGACTCAATGCCATTTCAGCAGTCGTTTTCACCCGTATTTTCTGAAAAAGTCAGTAGACTCCAACCCATAACTGTCTGGCCTCTACATTGTTGTATCACTAGGAGTGGTAAACACATATACTAACAAGTAGCATTACCACAATGTAAAAATATGATGTAGTCTTAAGGTTCTGTTCTGTGTTGTGTATTTTAATATCAAATCTTTACCTTACACTGCAGGAAAATTGTGAATTTATGAATGTCTTCAAAACTGATTCCACCTACTAGATAAATAAGTATAATTGAAGTTGTATCACTCTTCAATCTGTCAATTTCTTTTAGTATACATGATCACACATTTTAAAATATGTTTTCATTTTTCTTTCTTTTGCAGTACCTGATGACCTGCTTATTGCGTAAGTATCAATTTCATCATTCCCATTATTATCAATTAACTTCCATCACAGATGTGAACCACAAAGCCTACAATCACTAACATCGTTTTGCAGGTTTTTTTCCTCATTTCTCACGGTAGTCATCTTTCCTCATCAGAGTAATGATCTAAGTTAAGTGCAGAAGCCACACTGCGGAGGATGAGAGGTGTTTTTTTTACTGTCTGGGTTTGCCAAAGTGATGTAACACTGAGACACAATGCCATGATGCTGCTTTGTGTCTTCACAGAGAAATGTTCCTGGCTTTCATAGTTGTTCAGTTAGTGAGAGAGAAGGTTGCTCACTGTCTGGGTCAACACGGCCACATCCTGTATGTCGGGAAGCTTTGGTTTAGGGGCTCTTCATCATTCTCTGGTCACACAGGCAGACATAATCCTATTTTTATATTTGTCTCCTGGTTTGTCTCATATCTGCCTCATGAGAAAGATATGAAGAAAAAAACAACAATATTTGTTTCATTCATTTCAGAAAGAGGGTGAAAATAGGTGCTGTGAAGAATGAATAATTGTAAAATAGATTTAAAAAATGTACAAAAAAAGCTTCAGTTTGGTTTAGTTTCAAGCTAAATAATTTGTTTTCTTCCATCTCTAGCATGGACTTTAAAGAAACTGTTATAGTGTTTGTCTTCTACGATAAATGAGCAAGTGCTTCACCTTAGATTCACAATTGTGAGAAGATTCAACAGTGATACAGGGTAGAAGTGATTGTTAAAGAGGCAGGTTCTGGTTCTTCTACTAACTGTGCCTGAAGCTAAAACATGCTTATTTAATTAGGAGCTCCACCGCAGGCCCTCACACTCACACACGATGCAATGTTCACAAAACAATTTCAAACTCCTACTCAGCAGTTTCTGTATTTATGCCATGTCAAATATCTGTCTGTGTTTCTTCCTCGTTCTTTCAGGCTGAAGTTTGTTTTCGGGCCGTGTGCGCTGCAGGCTCTGGACCTTGTTGACCAGCACTCAGTCACCTGTCTGTCATCTCCCAGTGGACGCAAAGCTTTCCAGGTCCGTGATGCTTCTGTCAAATCTGGCGCTTTTCAAACTGTACTTGCAGTTTATATACTACACATCAAATGGTTTGCATCCTTACAATAAATCATTACCATAATATATAAGTCGTTCCAACCTTAGTCACAAATTCAATGTGAGCAGGATTATATGAATCCCTTTGAATGAAACCAATGGAATAATCAGGATTGAATGCCCTATCTGTAAAGACAATGTGAACTGTGTCAAACCCACTTGAGCAGCTGATCTTTTAGTTTGAACCTTTTGATTCATGGTTTCATAAAAATACAAAAACAAGTCCCATCAGTCAGTTATCTTCCTTCAATTCATGTGTTCAACCTGTGGCACATCCATTAGTCAAGTCCCTGCATGCCTCACACAAACACACACTACACTACTGTGTGCTAATTGAAGCTCATTTAGCATGTGACACTTTATAATTGTATAATAGAAGCACTCAGGGGTGGATATTAATAGTGAAAAAAAGGTTTTGCGGTCTTGTATTGCCAGATATATCATGACATCGAGAACATTTAGATTTCCCTCCCTGATAGTAAATCCCCAGGGTACGATTTTTCACCCTCTCCTCAAAGTTAAAAGAGAAGAGGCAGCCCACTGAGGTTGTGGTCATTGGGACCCACATTTCCTGTAAACTCCTTCAGGCCCCTGCAAAAACAGATTTATAAAAGGAACTGTAGCTCAATGCAGCTAAAAAAAGACATGTTCTGTTCTTTTGGGACAGACAATTGTGGGCGTTTTTACTGTTTTATTTAGTCTAATTTCCTTAAGGTCTGTCTGACAATAGTGGTCAAGCAGCATATACTGGAAAGGCAATTGTCCATTATTATTCTGTTCTGGAAAATATTTTTCCCTTCCAAACTTATCTTGATCTGTGGTCTTATGTTTTATGGTTGTGGCTCTGGCTCTGGTTTCTGAAGCGTTTTATACTTTTTTGGTACTCAACCAACAACCAACTTTCACAGTAGAAATATGTAATACTGTATAGATACGTGTGTCAGATTTTCCAAATATGATTGGCGCTTTGTGATGTTTAGATTGTGAACAGTTAGGTCTGTGATTTGCTGTGTATAAACTGAGGTTTTAATGAATTGATTGAAAGTTAACTTGCTGCAACACTTCAGTTTCAACATGACTCACACATACAGACACAGACCGCCATTCACACACAGCTGTAGGTATATTTTAGTCTGTACAAAATCAATGTAAACAAATCAGTTTGAAAACAACACGTCTTACGATGAGTTTTGTGCTGCACTATCTCTCAGCCTGGCGCAGTGTCTTTGAGCAGTTGTCAGCCAACTGTTCTTAACTCATTAAGGTTTGTTTGCTTTGGTATTTGAATGCATTAAACAAACTATATATATATATATATATATATATAATATCTGTTGTCACCTTTGTCAACTGGGAGGATTTTGCTAAGCTGTTTTTTCTTGTTTAGCTCTTTATGCTAAGCTGAACTTGCTGCTAGCTATAGCTTCATATTCACTGTACAGACATAATTCAAATGTATCTTATTATCTAAATAGAGTGATTAAGGGGCTTCTTCTAAAAAGTCAAATAATTGTAACACGTAACAGAACCTCCCTTTAAATAATCCACTTTATTACAATCATTTGTTGTTTTGAAGTGCAAACTTTAAATGCTTAAGTCTTACACGACCAAGCATTGTTGACTTTAATTAGAGAGTAAATAGTCAGGTTGCATTTTTTAAGTACTCAGAATTCCAAGTGAAACATTCCTGATGCTTTGCTATCGTCATGTAGGAACAGGCTTTTGTTTTGGGAATGCCAGCGTCACCTCATGACTTAATTGGGAAGTTTTACAACATCAACAGCATGCTAATATATCACATAACGTTCTCCTTTCTCTTTGTTATAACTCTTGCTGGTTTATTTTTGGTGGCATTAGCAGTAGTGAGTGTTGCTCCTGTGATGATGGCAGGTCTGTTTAATGTTTGAAACGTTAGTGATGCATTAAGTGAGACCATGGTTTACATAGTGTCTGTTTGAATGCTGTCTCTAAGCCATGACAATAATATTTAGCTTTCCCCGCTCTCTGACTCTCAGATTAATCTTGACAGTGGGTGCTCCAGAAAGCAGCTGCTGGAAAACAACCAAGCATGCCAACCAGAACATGGCTGGCATGGCATGAAATGTAACTTAAGATAATCACAGACTTTAAAAAAAATGGAAGATCGGTGAAGATGCACCTCTGATGATCAGGCTGCATGTTTCCCCTCAAGTTGAATAATATTTGGAGAGCATCATGTGAAAGGAGACGGTTTTTAATCCTCTCCAAGAGAATGAAAGCAGTGACGTCAGTTCCTGAAGCAGTTGCTCATTTAAAAAATAGAGCCCGACAGTCATTAGTCATACACTGTCTGTGTGACGTGTGCAGGATGTGAGGGTAGATTTCTCTCATCAGATCATAAAAGGTCATCTTTATGGGGCCCTAATATGCTCATATTAGGTTCATATTTGTGTTTAGTGCTTCTACTGTGACATGTCTCCATGCTTTAATGTTCAAAAAGCTCTTTATTTTTCTCATACTGCCTGTGCTGCAGCACCTCTTTTCACCCTTTGTCTGAAACCAGAGCCCAGTCTTTCTCTGATTGGTTAGCTGGTCGGCTCTGTTGTGATTGGTCAACCGCTAAAAGATGTCCCGCCCCTGATAAGTACACTGCGTTGAAGTGCTATCCAATTTACATGCAAAAAAACCTACATAACACACTACAGGAAAGGGAAAACTCCCAAAACATATTAGGGCCCCTTAAATGAGTGTTCTTAGATGGTTTCCAGAAATTAAACCCATTTGTGGAATAAACTATATTCATAGACAATATTGAGTTCACGGGAAGTGTTGTGACTTGTGTGCCAATTTGGCAATGTGAGAGACATCTTGAAACATTGGATAAATCAAAAAAGATATGTTGTCCAGGCTCCTACTTCTTCAAAAGAAAATAATATTTAAAGAAAGAATGGCATTTAACCAATGGGATATTTTAACCATATCTCATTCTTAACATTCATTATCCTTTCACGTGTTATGGTTTGCTTTTAGTAAACAGAAGTAGTGAGTAATGTATGCCCAACAATATTAAAACTCCAGCTGTATGGACACCAACATTGTGTGAATAGTGTGTTTTGTTTTATACACAACTAAATATTGAGGTTGCTGTTGAGGACAGTATGGTGGTGCCAACATTAATTGATTAAGTTGTTGATTGTAATTTTTTTGACTATTTTCATCATTGATTTATAAAAAATCAAAGTTAAAAAAAAGCCAAATATTTGCAAACATCTTGATCACATTTGATAAATTAGCTATATTCAGTTGTACGTTAAATATCTCTAGGTTTTGGACTGTCTGTTGATCAAAACAAGACCTTTTTTAGAAAAGCATTATTGGATGAGCCTGTTTTTTCTGACATGATAAAAAGATATTCTATTAAGATATTCACAAATGTTCCCGATAATAGAAATTTGGCTAATGTTCCCATCCTTATATATGAATGAAGAGAACTTTTCAGCACCCTATATTTTGTTTGAAATCGTTGATAAGTCTCTGTTCCTGATCTGGTTTGTCTGTGGCAAACAGCAGAAATAAATGTATAAGGTGATGAGAGGGGAAGTAAGGATGCAGTACTAATGCAAATGCCTGGTTTTAAGATGTGGCAGTACTTCAATACACCTTCTCCAGGGGCATTACGTTTCCAAACCATAGTCCTGTGACAGGAACGTAAAACACACTTTATGTGGAAGGCTTTTTAGCACTGGAGGTAGTTCATCAGCACTCCCATGAGAGACAGGCAATTCTTGAAGCACTTACTGTATTAGTCATCCCAGTCTTTATACAGTGTGCTGGAGAACAGATGCAATGGGTGTGAGTCTTAATGGCTTCCCAGAGCTTTACACTTCCCTGAAGCCTTCTTAGTGGTGTGGAACCAGGGGACAGAGCGCCAGGACTTTGGACCGCCCTCTGTCTGCTGCCGACTCTCCCAAAAAGTATTCCTGTGTGAGCCAGCATTTCAGAGCTTTGCCGAGGCTTTAACTGTTCCTTCCGCAGCGACTGTCTGAATGGCTGATCTGGATGTATAGTGTCGTTTTGAGGGAGACCTGGATACCTGCCAGGCAGTGAAAGCCTTCAGTTTGCGGTGTGAGCTGTAGCAGAGCCACATAATCTATGATGACAGCTTACAACAAAAAGGCCCAGAGTGTGAGCTGGTTTTCAATAAACCTGGCTCTTTGGAGCAGTAGAGGTCCTTGGCTCGGTCTCCACAGTCGTACTGTTTCCATCCTCCTCCTGCAGTGCATGAAGCTTTATTCATCCGCACTGAGGTGCTTTAAGCCCATGCATTTGTCTCTCTTTATGTCTTATTTATAATTAAGTGTCACGTTGAAGACGTTTTTTGCTTTCGTAGGTCACAGGGAAAGGTGATTTATCCGAGCTCTGGAGAATAATGGAGCCAGCTTTGTCATCTTGGGAGGCATTAGTTATTGTGCAGTGTCAAGCTAATCCACAGACTTAATGTCCTCATGTGTCATGTGCATCAGGACGAGACTTAGATCACTGTCTATGGCTGGGAGTGAACTACGTACGGCTTGTTTAAAAATGCATAGTTTCTATCTTGTTTCCTCAACATACCTAATGTGAAATGATGTTGATGGTGGAAGCAACCTCAACCGGCTTTCTGTCACTTTTATGAAACATTAAAAAACGAGAGTCCACTCAAAATGATCAGGTTAAAAATCTGGTTTTCTGCATTAATATCTTAAATGTTATTAATACACATACTTATTGTTGTTATATGTTGTCATATATATGTGCACTTCTTTATGTTTGTACTAATATTTATTTTTAAAATATTTTTATTTTATACTTAAAAGGAGCAAGTGTTATGCAATCTAAATTACCCTCAGGGAATAAAGTATGAAGTATGTCTTACCATAACTGTAGTTGGGATATTTGAGATATTCCATCCAAATCAGTTTATGTGACGTGATAGCTTACAGCTGTGGTGTAGAAGACACTTATATCCCAGTAAAATACCATGACTTCTTACATAATGTGTGAACAGGGTTCGTCTGCAGATGACATCATCTCTAGTTTCATCTCTCTGCAGAAGACTTCATAGAGATCTTGAAATTATCGGAAATTATAACAAAAAACTTCTATCACTTTGACATTTGGCATTACTCTGATACAGTTAGTTGATTTAAAAATAGCATGATATAAAATGTTTTCTTTAAATTCGAGATGAGTAAACTAATAATAATAATAATAAATTATATTTTTATAGCGCTTTTCTCGGACTCAAAGACGCTTTACAGTGTGAGGGAGGGTAGACAAACAAGGACAGGCAAAAACAAACAAAAACAACAAAACAACTGGGTTTGATCCAGCAGTCATGGTTAAGGTTGTGGAGAGAGATAGAGGCGAAATGGCTGACTCCTTTCATGTCTCGACTAGCTGAGAGACATTTGGTATCCAGGAATGATCTTGTTTTTCTTCATGCCTTTACTGTCTCCACTGCTCCTCAGCGGCCACACGCACGACCAATAAAAACAGCAAATTGTGATCTTAATCGGTGAATCTCCTCCATCATAAATAAACCGCCCACGTTTGTCTCTGTCAATGATCTTTCAAATAAGGCCAATACAAGCATTGCCATATATTTACATTTGTTTTGCATTAATCTGTTGCAGGTGATAGGAGGATCGGGGCGTTTGTACACATGCTTTGTGTCCTGTCACTACTGCCCGTGCCCGGCCTTTGCTTACACCGTGCTGCGCAGAAATGAGGGCCCGCTGGTGAGTGTCCCACAGTGTTACACAGAGGCTCAACACTTTAGAGAATAAGGCTGGCAAGTTTAGCTTAAGGCCCGGACACACCAGCCCGATTTTGGCCGTCAGAGGCCGTCAGAGGCAGTCGGGCGCAGTCGGGCATTCGCGGCGCCCTACTCAGGTTGGTGTGTCCCGCACCGTCGTCTCTTTACGGCACCTTTTCACACCTCCCGACTTTCTCTGACCTCCCGCGGCCGATTAAACATGTTGAATCGGCCGCAGGAGGTCGGAGAAAGTCTGGACAAGCAATCACTCTGATTGGCTGTTCACACTACCGCTGCCTGCTGGTAAGGACAGTTATTGCCACTCGTCGACTGAAGTATTTGCGGTGTGTTCGTAGGCGGGCGGCGGAGGCGGGCGGTGGAGGCGGGCGGCGTAGCCGACGTAGCTGACGGAAAAGTCGGGAAAAGTCGGGACACCAACCTGAGACCAAAGAACGCGTACCGAAGGCGTCCCGACTTTTACGTCAGCTACGTCGGCTACGCCGCCCGCCTACGCCGCCCGCCTACGGGCGACTTTCTCTGACCTCCCGCGGCTCCTCAACATGTTGAATCGGCCGCGGGAGGTGTGAAAAGGTGCCGTAAAGAGACGACGGTGCGGGACACACCAACCTGAGTAGGGCGCCGCGAATGCCCGACTGCCTCTGACGGCCTCTGACTCCCAAAATCGGGTTGGTGTGTAGCCAGCTTCATGAGAATTTTCTTTTCTTTATGCATATTTGATCAGATTCTGATTGAAATCATTTTGTTACTTTCAGGTGTGGGTTGTTTATTTTTTTCAAAAAGGTATTGCAAAAAGGCATAGCCTACGTTTGTTTTTTTAAAGTAGGGAGGATAAAATAAGTTAGGGTAATAAAGAATAAAAGTTTCCCTGCTATTCGAAAAATATTTCACCTTTTCTTAATATTTCAGACACTACAACATAGAAATGCTATTTAATTGGTTATTTTTTAATAAACTAACCCTAACTACTTTTATAATTCTACATGATAGATTACATTTTTTTAAAGACTGAGACCGGCCTCCCCTTTTGGAAAAATGTGCCATATTTTATATTTAAATATAACATGCATGCAAATTAGTCGCTTTTCGGCGCCTCCCGCTGTTTTAACGCTGATTCGGGTGACCTGTGTAATTCGTGGAGAACCGACTCACGGACTGACAGCCAACTTCTCTCTTCAAAAAATGTTTAAGAAATCTAGACCGCAAAATAATTAAACAAGCGAGTCCCTGTTTTTCCTGGCCAAGGACAGGTTCCTTGAACACAACACGAGCGTAACGTGTCATCACGTGGTGTAGTGCTGACGGAGAGCACCGGAACGCCGCTCCAGCACAAATATTGCAGTACCCATAAGGAGCCGTACACATGCCGCAGTTTTTGCGTGGCTGTGTATTTAGTTGTAAGCCCAGTGGCGATCTGTTGTTATTAGCATCTGGTTAGCTAGCTATGCTAACGAATATAAAGAGCTTTTTCTATGACCAGGTCAGGTGGAAGAGAGCTCTCTCCTGACAGACTGAGAGGCTCAAATAACCTCAGCTCAGTGAGGTTAAGGCACACCTTGATATGATCATTATAGTTATAAAAAAACAAGAGACTAAATTAAAAACAGGTATAAAATACTATGACAGTAACAAAAAAGTTGTTAAAAATAACAAGAATTCAGTTTGAAAGGGGAGTGATTTGTAAAATATCCATAAAGAAAAATAAAATCTGCTTACAGGTCTGTTTAATATGGGTGTTGAGAGATGTATCCATAGATCTCCTAATTTTGCTCTCAAAGTGCACCAGATTGATGCTTTTAACTTCAACATTTAAAAAAAAATCTTCCCGGGGGAGCGTGCCCCAGGACCCCCCTAGAGGAGGTTAGGCCCCCCCCCCCACTTAAATCATGTTCACATGGATAGGATACTAAATACATTTGTACACATCTTGTGTCCATATCTTTCTGTTTTGGTGGTCATGCCACAACCGTGCACATGCATGCATGCATACGCGAGTCATGTTAAGATATCTGGATTAAGAGGTTACTTTTTCTTTGCACAGCATGAAAGGAAGGCGAAATTCAATAATTTGTACGGCCCTCGGAGGATGTTGTAAAAATTGAAATGGCCCTTGAGAGGAAAAAGGTTCCCCACCCCTGCTGTAAATAATAATAAAAACCCTTTATTTATAACTTAACATCTCTGTCTCCTATTGATCTGAGTATATTATAAAGAATAGCCAGTAATTGAAGCATTATATCACAGGCCTTTGTCAGATGGTATATTACGCTGTTTTGTTTCTGCTTCTAATAGTTCTCTCTTTTTTCACCATACGTGTGTTTGCATCCCTGATTCAAGCTCTTTAGAGAGACCTTAAAAATAGAGATTAACAAATAAACTTGCTTTTTTTAGTTTTAGAGTAGTGCCTTCAGATAAACCCTTCACCTTTATTCGGCCTGTGCTGGGAAACGCAGGTCCCCAGAATAACCCTGCAATAACTCTTTCTCCCATTTGCAATATCCACTTCAAACAAGGCCAAATGGGTTATAAACTTTAAAAAATATATTTAGCTCATAACTTTTTTTTTAACCCACGTGATGACACACACGCTTAACACATAGAGGCACGTACACAATGTTCTGCATATGCTAACTCTATATGTACACCAACCAACAGAAGTACACATCCGCTATACATTGTTAGTACAGCAGCATAGTTACTCTCTGCGACATTTCACAGCCATTGTGTCTTGTCAATCATGCGTGTATCCTGGAGAAAACTGCAGCCCAGGCAAAAGTGTAAAAAAGCACCCGTTGAAATATGTGTAACAGATGTAATGTGGTCAGGTTATGTTCTGGTCAGCGAGGGGTGTCTTTATCTGACCGGCTGTTGCTTTAAATACTGCGTCAAGCATCAGGATAAGTTTATTCCCTGGAGGATGCTGCTAAAATCAGTGTGAGAAACAGAGACCATGGAGACTCCCTATGAGTTCATCTCTGAAATCATTCCCCATGAAAACAGACTGAACTATTCACTGCCTCATCAAACTCTCCTGCAACTTTTAAATCTAGGTAGATGGAGTTGTTTTGTGATGTTGCATGTGTGGAAGCTACGATGCAAGATAAGGCTCATGGTGGATCAGATTTTCAAGAGGAGAGCAGTATCATTTTCAGGATCATATCTGTATTTTGTGCCTCTACTGTGACATGTTTAAATGCTTTAATGTTCAAAAAGGTTGTTACCTTTCTCATACTGCCTGTGCTGCAGCACCTCGTTTCACCCTCTGTCTGAAACCAGAGCCCAGTCTGCTCTGATTGGTTAGCTGGCCTGCTCTGTTATGATTGGTCAGCAGCTTAGACATGATTCGCCCCTCAGCCTGTACAATGTGTAGGAGCGCTTGCCAATAGAAGCCAGAGTGTTACATTGTGATGTCACTATGTTCAGAAGAAAACAAATGAGTACAATGGAGGCGTTTCAGGCTGGGGGGGAGTGAGAGAAACTGCCTCTGGAGGGAACTTTGGGATTTGAGCCTTTGCAGACCGTTTACATGCACAGAAACCGATATAACACACTACATGAAAGGGATCCCAACAAGGCGTCCTGCAAATCCAAAGTTAAAACCTTATAAAGCTCAAGAGAAGAGACATTCTCTCAACAGTCCTCCCCCGCTGGAGCCATCCTGTTACTTCAGGGGCACTGTAACTTCCAACAATGCTGGATAAGGCAAAACATGGTCCATACGGCTCTGACAAGTAGGTCAGATGTCAGATAAAGGAGCCCCCCCCCCCCTCCTACAGCAGACTGATACACAGAGTCTACAGGAGAAGGTAGTAAACAGACCTCTGTCCTTTCCACCACCCTCTGCCTCATTGCTTATGTAGGAACACTAATCCACAGGCATGTTAGTGTGGAGGAAATCTCATTTAAAATGCATGGATAGGCTGAAGGTGGAAATAAGTCAATGATTAACATGTTGATAGTAATGAGAGGAGTGACACATGTTCACTGACTCGTGCACACGGATGTCGAACTGCAGGGCTTTGTGTCATTTAGCTACAAGAGTTACGTCTAATTTAACACACACCGTTAGGAAAAGAATACACTCATAATAATCAATGTGATATAAATATTAGATATACTCCTTGCAGTTGTAGCTAATAACTTGTGTTGAGGTTTAATCAGTGGGGACATTTCCAGCAGCAGCTCCTCTCTAGTCTGACTTGAAATTACCAAAGTGCCATTCTTCACCTCTGTGCCATTTATCACACTGATGTCCAATGACTGCTCTTTTGTCCACAGTGTAAACACATCCTGGCTGTGTACCTGTGTCAGGCCATGGCTGTGACACAGCAGGAGAGCGTGTCTGATCCGCAGATGTCCGCACTGCTGAGTGGGACAGCCCCTCTGTGACCCCCAGGTATATTCAGTACTACCCCTAAAGAAAGAGAGCCGATGTTCTCAACCTACACTTTGGGTCTCTGCAGAGGATCGGAGGACGGGAACACAACTGCAGTTTATACTCTTTAATTTGTCTCTCTGTAAGACACCAGATATTTCATTTTTTTTTAAAGAGTTTCTTCATCTGTTTCTCTGGAAACTACATTTTTTGTGAATATGTACAGCTACATTTTTTTTTAAAAACCTGAAAAATGTAATTTGTAAATATAAATCGTATACATTTTAGTAATAAAAACTCACCTTTAACAATATAAACATTGCCTTTATTAACAAAATAATTCACCATACATACAGATTGCATTATGTTAAATAGCGGTATCAGTTGTAGTTTAGTTGGATGAAAGGGAGAAGGCTTGACCACAGTGGATGCTTCCTGATTAGTAACGACACTACAGCACACTGACAGGAACTCGGGAATGAAAGGCAGGAATGTTGAATTAGATCAACTCGGTTTTGTCTGTCTCACATTTAGAATCACAAAAGAAGGCAATAGTTTGACATCAATCAATAGCTCGTAGAAAGCCGGACACCTACAGTACTTATTGTTTACACAACAGCGACAGTAATACAACGTTACAGTGCAGTTACAGTATAGATGTCTCCATTGGAATGTACTTACACTTTGGCACACTCCTGTTTTTAGCCCTTGAAGTTAGTGAGAGGTGGTACACTGGACATGTGGGGGGGTATAGTGAAGCAGTGAAGTCAACACCAACACAACATGGTTCAACAGCGCCAATGAAGCACACCAAATGAGAAGTACGGGAAAATGTCAGTGCAATGTGTTTTTTCATTTGTGTAGTGATGGCTCTCAGGTGACTAAGTTCACCCTTTTTTTCTGTCACATTACAAATTCACAATACTCCCAGCAAAACTCTGCTGTGCTCTGATTAAATTCACCAAGACCTTTCTGGGTGATTCATCAGCTCTCGGCTCTGTCTCATAAGCTCAGCCACACCCCCCTCCAAAAAAGAACTAAAGCATCAGGTGCGTTAAGGTTTGACTCGGTGCTGCAGCTGTGTTTCCTCAAACGAGTAACCTGCATGCGAGCACCTTGCAATAAGAAATAATGTTTCCTCTCAGAGAACAAATCTTTCGTATGACAGGCATATTCGGGTGTAGGTATAAATAAATTCAAATATTCAGAAAAAAAAAAAGTCACATCTGGTCTGTGTTGTAATAAGATTGATGCAACCTTTCAAGGTTCTTCTAGCTAATTCATGACTAATAAACTCAGGGAATACTCCCTTTTTTTTATTTCCCATTTTTGTTATTGCATTACATCCCCCTTTTATTTCAGGAATTCAGGATTGAGGAATTTGTGTATTACTTTTAATGGCCATAATACGCCGCCATACACTTGTGTTACCTGCTCTCTTTAAAAAAAATGATATTATAGGGTTTTTTGGGGGGCTAAACTAGACCAATACAAACCCATCTTTGCTAGTGTGGAAGAGTTACAATTGTGTGCCTTAGCAGTTTGATTAGTCCTCAATACAATTCATTTAGCTGTTTTTTCAAGTTCAGCTGATCTCAGGTCAGTGAGTGACTGCAGCAGCTTGTGGAGGACAGACTGTGCTAACAGGACAGAGAGAGCCTGAGGATCCCAGCTGAGACTGTCTGGCTTTGAGAGTGAAGGGGGGGGGATGTGAGTAAGTGACATTCATATACACCGCACTGAATGATGTAAGCCATTACATGCATGTGCAACAGAAGCTCTGGTAATACATCTGTATCTAATTTGCATTGATTGAGGTATTTAGATTTTCTATGCAGGGATACACTGCCTGAGCTTTTGCTTTCTTCACATGAGAGTCACGTGAAGCAGCTCTGGAGGTGTGTTTGACTAAATTCCTTCTTGTATCTTGGGCTGAGTCAAATCATCCTGTTTATTTAACACCCAAAACTTTGTCTTTCTCTGGCTCTCAGGGGTCACTCGATTATTTTGGGAAGGGAGATGATTCGTGGGATAAGCAGAGCAATTAGGCATTTTTTCCCTCTTCTTATTTGGTTTGAGGCCTTTTCCAATATGTGTTTTTGTTGTGGAGTATTCCCTCAGGCAGGAGAAAATCAACACTGGTGCGAAGTTGAAGCATCTGTTCAACAACATTTCTGCTTTATAAAGATATTTTGTTCTTCATTCTGTGGTAACACTGTATTTTGTTACTCAGCCTATCAAAAGTATTTGTTTAATTTCAAACGCTCATTACTTTAGATTCAACAATTCCTGCTTGTCTTTAGTTGTTTATCAGATGAACTTTTAACAGTATTCCACCATACAGACAAACCTAACAAAGTAGCAGTTGAATTGTTGAATCTCGACTAATAAGCTGTTGAATTGTTACAAATCTGTAGGCTGATTATCCAAATGTAGTGTTACCCTTCTTCTATATTTAGCTTGTGATGGTCATGAGCATAAAATAATCTTCAAACGGCCACAAAGCGAAAACAACAACAGATGTAGTATACCATTGTACCTCTCTAGGTCCACGAGCACAGATATAGCCACACAACATTTTTTGATCTCTATATTCTCATAAGATACGGTCTTTTAATAAATAAATTAATAAACACTGTTGACAATATAAAATAGCAGGGCATTAAAGGTGTTTGGAGTTGAAACGGAGTGGATTCAGAATGATAAATAGCATTATAGAATGTAGTTTGGATCCTGTTCACAGTCCTACAAATCCAGTTAGCTTCAACATGTTTTTCAAAAAGAATCCTTCACAATACAAGGGTTACGTAAGACTCGCCATTCAACATTTCACTGATTGACCGCTGATTCATAAATAAATATCCACATTCAAGGCGCGTCTGTCATCAGTTCATCTTCACATATCATCCCCTTGTTCTGTAAACATTATAGACCTCAGTGAGAGTCAAACGCTCTATAGCAGAGGGTCGATAGTCATGTGGATCTGGTCTCTGTTGTGCCTGCTGCCGTTGGAGCTGTGGTACAGCTCCTCCCTGCGGCACAGGAAGTATCGGGACAGGATTTTCCGGAAGGTGTTCCTGAAGTCCTGGATGCGGTAGGCGTAGATGATGGGGTTGACCGCGGAGTTGGCGTGGGACAGAAGGATGGCCACGTTCATGACGTGGGCGGGCTGTTTCAGGGCGTAGAACAGCGTGACGCAGTTGAGGATGTGGACGGGCAGCCAGCAGACGGTGAACAGCCCCACGATGATGGAGAGGGACTTGGCGGCGCGGATCTCCTTCTGCAGCAGCCCGTGGTGGTGGCTGTCCCCGTTGCCCACGCACTTGAGCTCGATCTGCCTCAGCTGCTTCCTGGCCACGGTGAAGATCTTGATGTAGATGCCCAGCATGATGAGCAGCGGCGGCAGCACGCACACAAAGAAGTTAAAGTAGACCATGTAGTGCATGTCCACCACGCTCTCAAAGTAGCACTTGAGGTGGCAGCTCTGCAGTAAGTGTCCCCCCCGCCCCCCCAGGCTGGCGTTCGTAGCGTTGTCCGCCACAGAGCTGTTGCAGCTCGAGTACTTCAAGTTCCATCCGAAGAACGGGATAAGGCCAATGACGAAGGAGAGGATCCATAAAATAGCGATGATCTCTCTGGCGGTCTTTCCCGTCATCAACTCCTTGTACCTGGAGGAAACACAGCAGAGGTTAGCGTCTAACATATGTTTAAAATGTTGAAGATTCAGTCAAATATCTCTCAAAGTAGGCTCTTGAGATCAAGTTCATCCCAGGTGAAACAGATAAAACAATGGGTGTGTTTCCTTTTTTTGTACAATTTTACAACAGGAATATTAACCCATGTGCTCTTTACATTCCTGCATCTTAAATTATTTTTCTCGAAGTATCAGCATCCCAACATGATTAAAGCTAGCAGATCGCTATTTCTAGAACTTGGTAACTTTTAGTAGGGAAACATATTTATAGTATTAATATTGTGATATGAGACAAATTGTTCTCTTAGATTTCTTAGAAGGCTTTGATAGAGAAGTTGTGAGAGTCTTGAAAAGGATTTGAGACAAACTTCACACCACATGTTTTGGAGAAGAGCCCACAGAGAACACTTCTTTTTCTTGCAGAAAGTGAGCTGGTGTGGCCTTACTGACACGACACATTACTCTTAAAGTACCTCCAGCTGTGCAGCAGAATGCACATCGGGCTAATAATGGCCGAGAATCTGGCAGACGATAGAAATGATTAAGTGGGATGGTGACTCGCTGTGACTTGGTGCATTCAAGTGTTGTAAGAAATATCGTCCTCTGTCTTTTTTTTGTACTTTTTAGTTTTTCCAACCACACAACAAAAGATAATAATCCCTTTCCCACAGCATCGTCAACACGAAGCTTTAGCCCTACATTGCAGTCTTCTTAGTTATTTGAATGGAGCCAGTCCGGGGGGGGGCAGCAGGACTCTGACAAAAGAAACAGCAAGAGTCTAAATCCAGGTTATCAGCACAGTGAGGCTGCACCAGTATAATGTTGTATTAGTTTAGCATGTTAACATTCAACGTCTGCTAATTAGCTCTAAACACAAGGCACAGCTGGGGGGACCGCCATTAGTTTAGCAGGAATGGTTCATTAGAATGTATCCTTAGGGTGACATGAATGTATGTAACAAATGTCATGGCAGCCATCCAATAATTGTTGAGGCTTGTCTGACAGACTGACATGACCGTCTATGGGGCCATGCTGCTAGCATTGCTAAAAATATACACAGTTAACCACAAAACCTCAATAAAGTACAAATATAACAGAAAGGGGTCAGAGAAAGGGATCGGCCTCAAAGCCTGTTGGTGACGAAAGCTAAACAGTTCACTTTAATATTACTTTAATGATGTTTGGTTTCCATGTTTGATTTGAAGATGCAACACTTAACATCTCAATGATGGACCCCACATCCTGATGGAGCTCATTGGTAGCATGAATGCACCACGCAGACACAGACATCTCTAAGCTGTTGACCAATCACAACAGATCCGGCCAGCTAACCAATCAGAGCAGACTGGACTCTGGTTTCAGACAGAGGGTGAAAAGAGGTGCTGCAGCACAGGCAGTATGAGAAAAATAAAGAGCTTTTTGAACATTAAAGCATGGAGACATGTCACAGTGGAGGCCACAAATATAAATATGAACCAAAAGATGAGCATAATGTCCTCTTTAAATGTTACCCTTGAGAATATCACCAGCTGCTAAATGAAAGCAAGAAACTTGCCGCTATCTCTTACAGTTTCTCACATCCTGTGTTGCACAAACACCAAA